TAAACCACCAGAAAACCAGAAGTGGCACTATAGCTCAAGTGGTAGAGCGCTCGCCTTGAGCTGAAGAGCTGAGGGACAGCACCTAGGCCCAGAGTTCAGGCCCTACGACCGACAAAAAAAGAAAAGAAAATTGTAATTTTACTTCTGAGTTATTTGCAAGTCTTGCTTGCTTCTTTGGTTTTGTGGCATCATATTATGCTGGAACAAAATAACATACTAAAATTCACAGGGAGATTATCTCTGCAAGATCAATGTAACAATAGACATTTCTAGGCATGCAAATAAATTTAACAATAAAGCTTACTACAAACGGTTGTCTACACTTAACAAAATCCATACATAAGCAAAGTCAATTAGATTTTATTTCAACAAAGAATATAAAATAAATGCAATGTAATTTATCTTAGCTTTAACAGTCATTTCAAGAAGGATGTTAGGACAACTCAAAAGCAAAAACACTCTGAAGTGACAGCACGACCTGCAGCCCCCCAGAGCGGGACCTGCTGGGGTGCAGGCAGCTCCAAGCACACAAATTGCAGCGGAGTGTGGAAAGCTACAGTCATATCTCTAATCATACAAAGAGGGCTGCGTGCAGAAAATGACTGAAAAATAGACAAGAACAGGTACACTTCACAAAGAGGCATTATCAGAAATACAAACTAGGCAGTTTAGAAAGGATAGTCTATGTAACATATATAAAAGTACTTTCCATTGTTGTTAAAAAGGACTATTTCAGTCCAGATTTTGTGTAATACTTTTAGTGTCTACACAGACAAATTTAAAAAAAAATTAAATAGTATTAATTTACTAAATATTTAGGAGATAACAGTGCATTAAGTATTTTTTCATATAATACATACATATCACTTCCCTTGCAGTGATAGAAGAGTAAGTATGGCCTTAAGTACAACACATTTTTTAAAAACCCTAAAACAATGATCTTTGCTCTGATACTTGTGACTATTCTTGAATATATAGGGACCTAAACCACTATGTTTTGTATAAAATATGACTTGTACGTGACCCCTTCAAGCCTCTGTTCATCTAGTGGCCTTTTTACTGTCTCGATTTATTTCCTAGGAAGACATTACTATGGAGTTTAAGACTTGCAATTTTCATAGAATTATCCCTTCATTGTATAATTTCTGCTACATAAATGTACTTAAAAGCAAATCAAGCTGCAAGTCTTATATCCAAAACTTTTTCTTTCCGTCTACCTTCAGTGGAGAAAACAGCATCATTTTAGAGGCAATTGCTTCAATAGGAATGAGGCAGTGCACACATACATAAATGTCATTCCTTCCCATTCTTGAGAGTAAATTATTTTTGTAAGAGCAAAAAAGTAGTGCAGAAGGCCAAAATTCCACATACTAAAGTTTCAAAACCACAGAGATATAAAAATATACATGGCCTTGGTTTTTTGCATCTCACTGCCTGATCTACTTTATTACCAGGATTGCTTCAGCCGCATAGTATCAGCCTTGCTACCAAGCTACCTTAGGCTAGTCTATCCTGAAATTTAGATCCTTTTTCCCAAACACCCACCTCACCAGAAAGCTAATTCTTAAACTGATCTGTTATGTGAAGAGCAGAAAACCTTCAACTGATTCATTCCTACAATACTTCCTTGTTTTGGGTATTCCGGCAGGCTGTGGGAGGTCTTCATACACACTCAATAGACCTAACAGTAACAAGATTTCAAACAGAAATGCAGTGATTTGGGGATCACAAGGACAAATTTTACCATCTGAAAGCTTCACAGGTCTCCTTAAGAGGTCCCACGGTCTAGGGCCCTTGTGTGTGAGAAAGGCTTTGCTCCCTTTATAGACAAAGGAAATTACAAACCAAAATTACATCAAAGGGTGATGGGCACAACTGGGCATCACCAACCCTGAGGCAAGAAGAGGAGAAAGGGGCCAGAACCAGTGCAGTGATAAGAAACCCAGTCGTACACGTAATGGGGATTTCTGGCTATGTCCTAGAAAATACTGTATACCGGAAGCAACTGACAAAAATCCCCTTAAGTCTATGTCAGTTCTACCAGTGAAATATGTATGTACAAGAAAAGCAGGGTAGTCCTGTGAGTGTATAAGCACTATTAAGAACGGTATTTCAAAGTTGCTTATAAACTATTAAGGGGCATGGTATTTTGGGTTATGTCCACATTTGTGGATGTCTTTTTAAAAATTAAATCTAAGCTCCTTTGAGGGCAGGAACAGAGTTTCTGTTTTCATTGTAATTTACTACAACTACTTAGTAGAGCAAGTTCTGCCTATGAGGATCACTCAGTTACTGAAGGCTCCTGTGAACATTTCAAATATATATGAATGCCTTTGTGATATTTAATCACTGGCTTTCTCCTAAGGTGGACAGAGAGAAGCCCTTCCATAACACTGTCTATATAAAAGTTGAAAGAGTAACTATCCAAGTATATTTAGAAGTTAAAAAAACCTTCATATTATACAATGGTTTCACTTATAAGTCTATCACATGGCATAGATATCTCAGGACAGCTTACTGTCACTCAAACGATCACAAGCTCTTAAGGACAGCAAGTTTGCATTGCTCCATATGTTTCTCACCCACTGGAGAACTTGGCATGTGTTAAGTGTGCAGTAAGCAGATGATGAACAGCAGCTCTGGAAAGAGCTTTCTATAGGTAGCTACATTATGCAGAAGGCTGTCAACTTCTTGTTTAAAAAAATGGAAGGGATGAAATACTATGTAGACAAACAATCACAAATTCCTTCCAATGGAGCATGTCAATTGTTTCATCTCAGTCTTGATGAGTGTCACTGTACAGCCTTTATTACTATTTATAAGCATTATTCTGCTGAGATCAGTAAGGTCCTGGCTGGCTACAGTATCACATCAATAGTGCAAAATGTATACTGGCTTCTAAAAATCTTATTTTACTTGTACATGGACCCAGAGTATCATAACCAGGTAGATAAGTTCACAAAGAATAGCTTAAAAATGCATATAGTTTGCATATACAACAATCAGTTATTTCTTCTAGCTCAAGAAAACATTTAAACAAGGCTGGTGCTGCTAGTAGCATTCAGAAGAAAACAATTTTTTTTGCCCCTTATACTAAAATGGGAGCTCTATACATCTTTACATTTCTTTTTGAGTCTGGGGATTCAGGGGCTCTTTAAAATGGCTAAGAAAGAACTCAGTCTGTAATTCATAGATTACACAAATGCAAATATTCACCCTATTTTGTATAGTCTTACACTATAGTTTTCAGGCACAAGTATTAAGTTTTCTCCTAGGGGCAAAAGAAAGCATTCAGTGCAATGAAAAGATTCTTGGTAGAATTAAGATTCAGTAACAACAGCAAAATTATATATACATCATACATACTTTAAACATGAATAAAACCTAAATTTTCAACATGCTTTAAAAATAGTCACTCTTCCTATATCTATTGCCAATACAAATAGAAAACACTGTTCCTTTATTTTAAAAGCAGACGAATTTGCAGGCTTCTACTTGAGTACCCATGATTAAGTAATAAAGTTACTCATGCAGATCCACATGTGAAGAAACAGCTCCTTAAGAGAGCCTTTTCAAGGAGAAGTAACACATCCTTGATTAACATTACTCCTTAAATTTATTAGTGCAGTTAATATTCTCTTCAGCTTTCTGGTGTGGATCACCATAGGACTGTATTCCATCAAAGCTCTTGAAACCCTTTTTAAGGTAGACTTAGCTACATGAAGGTTAAAACTCTATTTTTAATTACTGAATACTACTCAGAAAACAATGATTCTAAGGAACTAAGTTCCATATGAATAATTATATAAAAATCACCACATACTTCAGTTATTTATAGCATAAAGCATAGTAACTGCAAAGATCTAGACTGTTTTTGGTGTAGGTTCTCTCTGTCCCACCAGTTGTCTTTTTACTAGAACTTCCCTGAAACTAGATAAATAAAAACATAATAGCAAAGTACTTTGGGACAGTAAGTTTCAGTTTAAGACTTCCATGAGCAATATTTGTAGTCTGAGAAAATTGTAGTGCTTTAAAAGGTCCATTTTTACCTGTGTTGCTATATCAGTTCACAAAGTATAAAACTATACACACCACTGGAATCCTGTTTCTAAAACATTAAAATCCTTATTAAAAGAGCTTTGAAAAAGTAAATCATAATGATTGCTACAGCATGAGAAAGGTGCACCTGGAAATCCTTCAAAAAATGCTGAGGGTTACAGAAGTGCTGGGATTAGACACTTTATCAGAGAAGTCACACGGAACTCATGCGGGGTAAGGGGTAGGGGAAACTTCACAAGAATCTTCCTTAAGTCAATAAAGAAGAGATAGGAGTTCTGCAAAACACTCAGTGTACAAAGTTTTTCTCCTGAGTGTGTGAGTTCTGAATGGCATCATAGTTTGCATTTGGGGGTTCTTTGCAATGCAAACCTCCTATTGCTGAAGTCTGTGCTCTGGCCTGGGCCAGGTAGAGGTGGCTGATCAGTACCGGTGGGCCTGGTGTGATGGGTGGTACTGTGCACTCTGTTGAGATGAAGAGGAGTAGCCTAGTGCACTCTGGGACTGAGAGGATCCCTGAACGCTGCTTTGGTAATTCAGGCGAGAAGTGGAGTGCTAGAAGGAAACAGGAAAAGGGTATTATTGACAGAAGAGTAAGGCACAAGTTGTCAATCAAAGTAGGGTGGAGATATAAACCATTTAGTCATGAGACCAGGTCTCAGCAGCAGCTAACAGTTAACTTAGCATGTTAATACATATTGCAGATCTGAAATTAACAGCCTAGCCCTACAGTAGCCACATATTCTGGCATGCATGAAGTTTGGCTCAATTTCTTTGGGAGATAAGCTATATTGGCAAAGACATGCCGTGTAGAAATTTATGCTATAAACTTATAAATCAGTCAGCATGAAGACCTACTGTTCTTCACACTGACTACTTTTGGGGTGCAGTCTAACTCCTTGCATAACAAATTTCTACACATGCATGTAAGATCCGCCCCTGGATGGTGAGCAGACTCCACCCTCCTCGCAGCAGTCTCTACCCAGTACCTGCATTACCTAGGCAACTGGCACACCTGGAAGAGGTCACATCTGCATCCGCTGAGGTGACATCTGAATTTGTTGTGGCCACATCTTTCTCCGCCCATACCCTAGAAAAGGCCTAGCCCAGGCCCAGAAGCTCTCTTTCCCAACTTTTTCCCAGCTATCTTTCTGCGCTCTTTCCCAGGCTTTTCCCAGCCGCATGGAGTGCCAACATGGCCTGGTGCCAGCCAGAATGATGAATAAAGCTACCCCTTACCTGAATACCACATGCGTGGTGCTGTTCTTACTCGGCTACCTCTTTTTAAAAACCTAACAATATACACAGAAATCTTGTCTCCATAACCTGCCTTCAGCAATAGTCCTATCAAATCAGAAACCCTTCATCCTTGATGTTTCCTCTTAGCAATTTTCCATCCACTGGTCTGCTCCTTGGCTAAAAATCTGTGTCATTCTTAAATTTGGGGAAGAATACAATCCCTCTCCTCTATTGCAACACCCTGTTACTGGGTTCTCTGTGCTTGTCATATCTATTGCCCCCTGAAATAAAGTCTGCTTTGCCTTAACGTGTGTGTCTCCTCTCTTCCTCCCTCTCCCTCTTCCCCTCCCCCTCCCCCCTCCCTCTCTCTGGCTTGAACTTAGGGTTTGGGCAACTGTCCCTAAACATTTTTTCTCAAAACTAACACTCTACCAATTGAGTCAGATCTATACTTTCAGCTTTTTTTGGCAGCTAATTGGAGATAAGAGTCTCACGGGCTTTCCTGTGCTGGATGGCTTTGTACTACAATCCTCAGGTCTCAGCCACCTAAATAGCCAGAATTACAGGCATGAGCCACTGGTAACCAACTTTTTATTTCTTTTTAACACAGGGTAACATAATCTGAGATAAAAAGATGAGATAGTAAGTGAACATATATTGCAAATATATTAGAGATAAAGCTAAAGCTTAAGGGAAAACTCAATTTCTAACAAACTTCCAATTATGTTCAGTCTAATTACAGCCAGAAGGAAGTATTATATTCTCTTCTTAAAGAGAAGTTTTTAAGGAAACAGTTATATGAAAACATTGCATTCTGAGACACTCAAAGAAGCAACTGTTTGTTATGTCTTCCTCATTAATGTGTCTCTTTGTTCCAGTTTCTTATCAGTGAGTTTATGGCTCCCTCATCAGAGCTTTTGTTTTCTATTCTTTCTGTCCTAAATGTTCCCATTCTGTGAATTCCCGGAGACTGGTCCTAAACCTTTTACTGAAAAAGAAATCTTTCACTTAAGTTTTCCTTTCTTGCTTGTTCTTGCCTTGGTTTATTACCACCTTGAAAAACAAACTTTTTGCAAGACTTTCTAAGATTATCACATGGTTTTTTGGGTTGTTTTTTTTTTTTTTTTGGTGCTGGTCCTGAGACTTGAATTCAGGGCCTGAGTTTCCCACCCCCACCCTGCAAGGCTAACACTTGAGCCACAGCTCCATTTCTGACTGGG